AGGCAAGTGCTTATTCTACTGAGCTATCTCCCTGGCCCCCAACTGCTCACTCCTGACATATCACTCACAAGGGTGGTGACCGCACCTTCCATGGGCATTCTCAGTCCCCGTGTCTCAACCCCCCAGCTGCGGCCCAGCTCCACCTGCCTTATTAGACCCGCCCTTAAGGCAGTCTGAGCCTGCCAAAAAAATAAAAAAAAAATAAATTTCTTTAAAAAAAAAAGGATACGAGGAGAAATGGAAGTCGGCTCCTACTGCAGCTGACATCATAGCCTCCAGGCTTCGCTGCTCTTGGACCCCAAAACAGTAGCCATTGGCTTTATCCACAGCCTGAAGGACTCTCTGGATGCTGTCTTTGTCCTGAGCAGGGAGGAGAAACAATTCTGTGAGGGAAACAACCTTCTCACAACTTCTAAATGCATGACATCTCTGTACGTGAAGCTTTCTTAGTTTTGTATAGCTCCAAATGTCCCCAGAGACCTGGCTCGGTCCAATCTTTCCTGACTGCCAACCACTCCGACTGAATAGTGAGCTCTTCTGTACATACTCTGTCCCCTGGGTTTATTTCTAGTGTAGACACCAACATACCAACTTACAAGAGAAAAGCTAGGCATTAGAAATGGAAGACACACATTAGCTTACGTCCACCCACCACAGAAAGGAACCTAACATGCAACTGGGTCTCCTGTTAACTCTGCAGGGAGCAAGGCAAGAGGCACAGGGGATGGCTTTGCGACACCATAGGGGACAGGGGATGTAGCTCAGCAGCACAGGTGCCTGCCTGGAAAGTGCAAGGTCCTGAGTTAGATTCCCAGTACCAAAAACCAAAACCAAAACCAAGTCAACATTATCACCCAGCTGAATGGACCTAACACATTTATCCCTAGTCCTGGTCAAGACCCTTGTGGGTGACTTTCTTGACTCCTCCATTTTATACTGAAGACTCAATGACACCAAATCCATGGGCATCCCTGGAATCCTGCGCACCAGAGGCCCAGGGCCAGAAAACAAAGGGGTCTGATGACAGTCAGACCCAGGACTGACCAGTTAGGCCCTCAAAGCTCTCTGTGCTCTTGGCTGTCGAGTGCCAGACATATGACAGTCTAGGGCCAAGGAAAGAGGTCTCTTGGTATACAGTACCTGTACATTCAGAGGGATAAAGGAGACCAGGCTGTAGTCTTCAACGAGCTGTACCAGTTTCTCATTAAGCTGGCGGTAGTGGCGAAAGAAAGGGTCGGAAGCCAGGTGGTCAAGCAGATAGGAGAGGTCCAGGACCTCTGTGTAGTAGTCCAGGTTGAAGGCTGAGGAGAGCAAGTTTGCTTTAGGAGCAGCTGGTGCCAGACTAAGGACCTGAGGGCTTTAAGGGCTCAGAGTGTAGCTCATGGTAGAGAGCATGTGCTTAGCAAGCACAAGTCCCTGGGTTCAATCCCAGCACTACAAATAGACACACAAAAACAACAAAAAACCCACAATAACACCTGAGGACTAGAACCGTATTTTCTTTTTATCCTTTATCTTTCTTCATTCAAATATTTGCTGCTACAGGGATATAAATTTTTTTTTTAATTTTTTTTATTTATTTGTGTGTGTGTGTGTGTGTGTGTGGCCAGCTCAGTCTGCCTGGGGGCGGGGCTGGCTGGCATGTGGTGCTGGGGGATTGAACCGCGGTCCATGTGCGTTGCTAAGCTTGTTCTAAGTAGGGGCTTTAGACCACTGAGCCATCTCGCCAGCCCCAGGGATATGAAATTCCTAAGAAGAAAATACTTAGTTTTGCTGGCTGTGCCATTTACGAGTGACAGAGACAGGTCTCCATCTTATGTGCCTGTTGTAAGGATTTTTTTTCTTTTTTTAAGTGTATTTAGTGCAGGATCTCCAGGGTCTCACTGTGTAGATCAGACTAGTAGCGATTCTCCTATTTTCAGCTTACCAAGCCCTGGGATTACAGGTGTGTGCCACCATGCCCAGTCCCAATCGGGGTCTCAGTATCCCCCAGGGGCAGGACCAGCACGGCACACAAGGGATTGAACCCCAGCCGCTGCACTCTGCCTAAGCAGGCACTTAGTCTGCTGAGCTATCTGGCCAGCCCTTGTTGTGAGGATTAAATGACATAAACTCCAGTGTCTGATACAGAGAATGTTTGAACAGTAATTGTAAATAACATCAACAGGCTTGAGAACTGCGCTTGGGCTTGCCTCAGGAAGCTCACCGTCAGTGCATAATAAGAATCTGGGGCTGGTGAGATGGCTCAGTGGTCTAAAGCACCTACTTAGAACAAGCTAAGCTAAGCAAAGCACAGGGACTGTGGTTCAATCCCCCAGCACCACA